CTTGAGTTAATTTTATCACACTTTCATCCTAGAAATTAAAATAAAAACAGGATCCAATGCAAATTAGCAACAACCTTTTTGTCAGAAGTGTCACACAGGCACATCAATGCCACCTGCACCTGATCTGGGTTCTGTAGGTAGCAACCATGAGTAAACCCTATGTACTGAGAGGCTTCCGGAGGCCTCTGGGGTGGGGTGCCAGTAAATCTAAATTAATAATTCTTGCAGTGGAAGGGGAATGATATACATTTAGGCGTTCATGAGATTCATTTATCACCTCCATCAGCTATGATTCTAGGCCATGTGCAACATTCCAATAAAATCATATAACAATATATAGTAACCGCTCATCTATTCACTCCCTCCCCAGCCATAGGATTGCTAGCTTTTATTTTACAGGAATTCTCTACTCTGTTGTTCTGAAGCCACATGCAGGTAAACCCTATTAATGCCCACCCAACACCAGCTGATGTGACATGCGCACCTGGGGCACTGCGAGAGAACATTTTGCCACAGCATCGTAAGCCTCTTTATATCTTCCCAGTTCTTTTAAAGCTTTGGATTTCCGGTAAAGGGCTCTGAAATTATTTTCATTCAACTTTAAAACTATCCCACATTCTTCTAGAACTCTATCGTGCGACCCCTGTAAGAATGAAGGACAGAACAGTGTCAAGCACTTTGTGATTCAAATCTCAGGCTGCAAGCATATTCCAAGACAACGCATGCCGCACACACTAACACAAAATGCACAACATCAGGGAGATCAGGCAAGGTCTTTTTAAGCTCTTAGGAGCTCAGAATGCTCATTGCCAAGACTGCTATTATTACTGCCATTTCAAGGTGATGAAATGGTCGTATTTTGCTACATTTGTGTTAAGAATCATACGGTGTTTGTTTTTATTACTGTACTGCTAACTGCCAGGGCTGATAAAGTGCTGATTCTATCGCACCCACCAGGGTTACAGAATGGAAACTTAGTTCTTGATAAGCCATGAGGATTTTTAGGAAGCACCTACCTTCTTGGAGTAACAGGCTATACGATTAACATGCAGTTTCTCCAATATTTCATCAGAAATGTGGATTCCTTCAGAATTGGCATAATCGGCTATGTTCAAAGCCTCAGAATAATGGTTCAGTGACCCTTCCCAATCACCTTCTCGGTATGCATCGTTTCCTTCATCAAACAGGTTTTTAACAAGTTCCCGTACGAAGAGCTGAAACATAAATCCTGGGTTAAGTCACACAAGACAGTTCTGCAGCTCAACAAGGGCTGCTTTGCTATCGCCAACAACTTGTTCCGGAGAGGGGATGCAGGCAGAGGCACCAAGTAGCGCATCTCACAGCAAAGCTTTAGATCTGTTGGGAGCAAGGTTCCAACTGACAAAATGCGGTAATAAAAGTCCTGAAACCTATTGTCCTTCCGCTCGCTACCTCCACACAACCACTGCTAACAACCAAGCACAAATTAGACAAGGCTGGCACAGTCAATAAGGCAAGAGAAATCATCCCATCCTACAACAGCCAAGGTTCTAGAAGTTTCTACCCACTGCTGAGACCACAATGCCTCAGTTGTAAAGAAGTTCAGAAAGGAGGATCAGTTACCTCATATTGTTCTTGAGACCCAGGGTAAGGTAGAGTCGACCTAGAAATCACAAAGATAAATATAAGACCACATTCAAGCATCTTGCACACCCAAAAGGCACTTGCCACTGAAATTCTCGGTCTTGGCTTGTACCCGTGCACTTGCCACCAGAATGAACTTTGCAATCCAGTTTATCTCCAGAAACATCAGTGAGAAAATATGATTGGAGCATAATATTACTAACAGGGCAGAATGTGCATTTCCATGTGTAACACATATTTCAAAATAAAGATGCAATCAAATGAAGATTAAAGAGTTCTCTGCAGCACAAGATATGAGATACAGTGCACCAAGAGAATTTGTTTGCCTGTGTTTCATTTTATAACAGCAAAGTTGGCTGATCTTTAATATAAACTCAACACAAGGAATGTAAGAAGAAAGTATGTGGCATCATGTTTTAAGCAGAGACTCAAGAGTTCTCGGACAGAGAAGTCTAGTTACTCAAAGCTCTTACTGTATAAACTGCAGCCCTTTCTTAATGTCCTGTAGCCTGATGCTCCTGTCCACTGAAACACTGGACATGTTATCCTGAGCACTCTCCTCTCCAGTAGGCAGCTTCTGAAAAAAAAAAGTAACAACTCATCGCTGGCTTGCAAAACAATTTGTGAGAAGCTATGGAAATACTCAGTTCCGACATCAGCCTAAATTATAAAATATCAACTCTTATAAAATAAATCCATGTTTACAAGATAAGTTTGTTTTTTAATATTGACTATATTGATAAACAATGTTTAGAGTTGTTTTCACCTGAAGTGAAGCGATAGATATAATAACTTTCAAAATCTCATTTTTCAAACAAACAAACAAACCCCAACATATTTCTAATTCCAAGTGTGTGTGGGGGGGAAGCTATAATGCACCTTTGCTAGCAGTTCTCTTCCCAATACTTGGGACTACAATTCTCCAAGATATCCACCCAGCAATGTTGTTGCAATATATTTAAACCAATCCAGCGGACAGCAATAAGCGCTTTCTTTTATCTGCCAAAATCAAATCTGGTTCACAAAAATATGCTGCACATTAAGATGTGATAAAAGTTTTCACTGTTTTAGTTGGAAACCAATCATTCTAAATATTGCAACATAAACCTAAACTATTACAGGAAAAGTAAATGCAAATAAATACAGCCGTATTTGTAAAAAGATTCTCAAGATAAGTCCCGCCATCTAGGGGAGCAAAACAAACTTACTTCAAATAATGAGGACTTTTTATTTGAGTTTACTGAAGATAACAATTTGAAATATTTCTGAAACATTCCAGACAACTGGTCTACCTCAACATATTTTAAGAAACTCTATTCTAAAATAGGATTAAGAGAGTCACCGTTAATCATGAGTCCCTTTCAACATATAATCCATTTTAACCGAGAACAGCAACACCAAAAGCGGAAAGGAAAACCAAACCAAAGAACAAGGCTGCAG